AAGGACTATTGGGAAGACTTTGTTGAGACAAATGCAGAAGTAAAGGCACCCGAAGCAATTCAAAGGCGAGGCCGATGGAGCCTATCTTCCAGTGATGTAGCAGGGTGGTTTGGAGCCAGCGCATCAATCTGAAACCAGACAGCCATTGAGCCCTGGTGGGAACATGACCAAGCATTCCAACGCCAGGACATCCTGAGCCCGAGGAGTGAGCACAGGAAAGAACTCATTAATCAATAACTTCTGAATGTATATAATATGCAGTTTGTTTAAGGAAGTACAGCACAAAGTCAATGAACAAGTTAACCAAACCAATTAAGGTTATCAAAACGGGGCAATGGCCAGGGCCATACCCTGTTCTATGCCGGGAGAGAATGTACTAGACAAAACCAAGGCCACTCTCACTGATATGGAATAAGGGAAATTGCCCTCTTTTATAACCCCAGAGAAACGGAAAATGTGATGAGCCGGATTGGTGTAAAACTATAACAACAAAACCTCTCCAGGCTCCAATACCATGAAAAGAATACAGGACTCCTTATCCCACCTACGCTATCCATCCCAGAAATTGCAGAACATCAGGTCATTCAAACCCTTGTTATACCTCTTGGAGTACTGGAAGATACGGTAACTTATAAAGTTGGAAAAGAGTTTGTTTTTCCTCCTCAAATACTGTTGTGAGATAAGGACAAGATCTGGAAAGCCCTAGAATAGAGTATCAGGGTTGGAAGGGACCTCAAGAGGTCATTTAGTCCAACCCCCAGCTCAAAGCAGGGCCCATCCCCAGACAGATTTTTGCCCCAGATCCCTAAATGGCCCCCTCAAGGATTGAACTCACAATGCTGGGTTTAGTAGGCCAATACTCAAACCACTGAGCTATCCCTCCCCTTGTCCTGTTGCTTGCACCTGGGAGACACCTACATATGCCCGTGTAATGTCTTATCAACAGAGCTGCTGGCGTGTGAGTTCACGCTGCAGGAGCACTCTCCATACTGCACAGTACGGTTGAGATGCTGAGGAACTGGTGAAGTACTTATGCTGGGAATGGTAAATGTTGCTTGGTGGCTGGAAATAACCACTTTTGGTATAGATCCAAAAATTGTAATTCTGATTGGCCAATGTTTTGTACCCCACCAAAATTCACTGCAGTGATAAATGGAAAGACTTTACATCCCAAACCCATTTTCCGTAATGTAACTGAATGACAGGCTGACTTCAGGTTACAGGAGGATGCTTTAAAAACAATACCCAAGTTTGGGCGTTCTATCTTCACTTGAACCTGGATCTTAAAAGCCAGGCACAGAGAATTTGGCAATTAACTAGCTCCACCTTGTGGGACCAAGCATGCAAAGTGGAATTACATCCATTGTGAAGATTATCATTCAAAGCTGTGATAGTTATCAGCATAATTGTAATCTTGATTTTGTATTGTCAAGTTTATTAGTTGTACAAGATGTTGCAAAATCATAGATGTATGTTTAAAATGCTTAATGTAGTAAATCCCATGTACTATGTAGAGTTTTAAAGTGGTGAATGTAGGATAATTATGAAATTAAACAATTAGAGTTAGCATAAGTTTGGTTAAGAAAATAATGTAATTGCTTTATGGATTCTGGCTAATACGGAGAGGGCCTCAAAAAGCAAATAAAAGAATGCCGTGAGAATAATTAGTGTAATTTGTAATGTGGGAAGAATGTCTGATTCCAAAACTAACAAAGAGCTGCACGAACAAGACAAAGGAAAATTGTCTTCAAAGAAACAAGCCCAAACTTTTCCACTGTTCTGCTGGCAAGCAAGAATGGGGGGAGAAGACAAGAAAGGGAGGCTTGGAGGAAGAAAAGCGGCAAGGATAAACTGCCTCAAACTGGGTTTTTGTTAAAGCTATCAAGTTAGCTGAAGGGTATAAAGAGAGCCATGAATCTGAAAGTTCTTGGTCAGACCCTACCTGATCATGCTGGAGTCAGGGCCGGATTAACCTTTTGTGGGCCCAGCGCCAAACATATTTGTGGGCCCCCATTGGGGCAAAGGAGCAAGGGGCCAACCAGGGGCAATGGGGCATAGCATGGTGGGCCTGGCCCCGCTCCACCCAGCCCAGTGCAAGGGCACTGTATACAAACCTGCAGTTGCCAGACGCACACTGGCCCGCCCAGCCCTGTGCTGCCAGCATGCCCCTTCCCCTCGGGGGTGGGCCCATGCCATGCCACACAGCCCCTGACTCCCTATGCCCAGTGTCCCCTGGAACTGCTATGCCCATCAGTCCCCCACACAGACCCTCCACCACAAAAGCACAGAGGCTTGCACCCCCTGCTGCCCAGTACCTCCACAGAGCTGCACCACACTGCCCAATGCACTTCCCCACAGCCCACCACCACAACTACACAGCACCCTACTCAGCCCCCCACTGCCCAGCATCCCAACACACAGACCTCCCCACACCTCCAGAGACCCACTCCCTGCCCCCTGGCCACACTCACCAGCCCTGCTGGAAGGTGACAGCGTCTGTCAGGCTGAGCTGACAGCGTGGCCAGGGCCAGTCCAGTGCCAGGCTGGGGAATCACTCCGGCCTCTCGGGAGTGGCGTGATTAGCCAGGCTAAGGCTGCCCCCGTCCTGGCCGGACTCCCTCAAGACCCACTTGCCTGGAGATAGGTGACCATACATCCCTGTTTGGCCGGGACAGTTCTCTTTTTAAGCTCTGTCCCTGCCATCCTGACTTTTTTGACAAAAACGGGCATTTATCCTGTTTGCTCTTGCCAACTGATCAAGTAAATGGAAATAAAGTGCGGTACTTTGATTGTTTTGTAGTCTAACTTATTTTTTCACAGACCACTTGAAAAATCGCTGGGGGTCTCGGTGGACCACTTAATGATCTTTCCAAATATTGGTGGTGCAGGGTCTGGGAGGGAGTTAGGATGAGGGAGGGGGCTCAGGGTTGGGGCAGGAGGTTGGCGTGTGGAGCACTTACTTGGGGCAACTCCTGTTTGGTGCGAGGTGTGTAGGTGGGGATGTGGGCCGGCGCAGGAGTCAGGGCTGGGGTCATGGATGTGTGTGTGTGTGAGGGGGGTGCAGGAGTCAGGGCAGGGGGCTGGGTGTGTGTGAGGGGGGTGCAAGAGTCAGGGCAGGGGCTGGGGGTGGGGGGGGGGGGGGGGGGGGGG